AAAGGGGAAAGACTGAGATGGTGGCTGTGGCGGCGGAGGTGGCTCTGTCCAGACTTCTTTGTCCGCCCGAAGCTGGCGCCACCGACATGGGTGCTTGTCGATCTTGAAGACAACGCAGCGCAATCGATATACCCAGTTCGGCAGAGCTATGGGGGCCTACATGGCAGGTGGACAGGCCACCGAGCGTTGTCAGAACGGGCTTTCACTGGCACGGGCGACTACCACCGCTTGACACTTGCCCTGAACAAGGAAATTCGGTTCTTAAGACTCAGTTCAAGCGCAGAAGTGGCTTACACTATGGGCGCAAAGCGCCACCAATTTCATGCTGATCATGCAAAACCAAGCTGTGGAACAGGAATGGTAACCCAGTATTTTGACGGGCCTACCAGAATGCGAGCCATGGACCGATCTTTGAAGGCACATGCTTCGGCAACTTAAATGGCAAGCTGGGCTTGGCCGCGCTGCGAGATGCGCGCCCCAGGGGCGCACCAGAGGTCTGTCCGGCATGGCTATGGTGACTCGCTAGATCTTGAATGGCTTGATGCTGTCGCAGTGTCAGTAGAGCTTCACTCAGTTGGCCTTGATGCGAAAAGAAGTCTGTCAGGCTGGCCATCGGTCCAGCCAGGGCCAGATGGGAGAGCAAAAATGCAAGTTAAAAGCAGCCTGGGGGCTCTCGACACGGTCCTGTGCTTGCGACTGTGAGCTGTGTGCTCGTGCAATTGCTTGAAGAGACTGTGTCTCTCGGCCACATCAACTGTGGTTGATGCTTTCTCGGCTTTAGAAAAAGACAGAGCTGGGTCGAACTGCGCCTTGCAGAGCTGCTCTTGGCTGATCACTGGTCAGTGGTTACGATGTGTGTGGCAGCCCTCTGGCCTTGCGGGCAAGTCTACCTTGCACAAGTTCCGCCAGAGCCTCGACGAAGAAGGTCCAGCTGGGCTTCGATACGTACTAAGGCACTTGGAGTCCTGGAGCTTCATGAACAGCCTGTACGCTATGGTTGCGTGGACTGAGCCGCTGCCTCTTCGAGCAGCTTGGTGGCCAAGGGTGCTGTGGCGGGCAACTTGAAGACCACTGAGGTCTCTGCGCCAGCCTGGTCAGGTTTCATCGTGTGCAAGAAAACCTCGAGTCAGCTCCAGTGGAGATAGGACTTGATTTCGTTGGGACCTTCTGGTTTGGGCAGGAACGACTGCGCCGTGCCATTCATGCGGGGCCGCTTGTTGTCAGCGCCTACTCGTCCTGCCACATCATCTTGGCGTGACTCCATCGTTCTGCTTCTGGATTGCTAGTGCCACTTCCTATGCCCAGCTGTCAGCCTGAGTTGAGAAAGGCTGCGATCAGGAGCAGTGGTGGAAATCAGGTATATTGGAGACCACTGGCAGAGGAGTGAGTGGCTGTGCCACAATTCTGACCGCAGTGCTGGCCAGATGACTAGAGTGGCTCTTCTTCGCTGCGTGTGACTTCTGGGAATGTCAGAAAGAAGATGTAGGAGCCATGTCTAGCCTGTCTTTGATCTGAGTCCGTGGCCGGCTGTGATCGTCGGTGGTCGTCCGTCGACTGCCACTCCGATGTCGGCTGTGCGGGGTAGGGCCAATGTGAAAAACGCATGATTGTACGTATGCTCGTTCCATGCGTATAGAGCCCTCATACAGTACAGGAACCTGGAGTTCTTGACTGTAGGACGTGATGGGGAAATGGTTTTTGCCCGAGCCTGTAAATCTTGCCACGGTGAAAATGGCGTGTTTCTGCTGCCCCAGCAGTGTGGTGTTTGGGGGTACCGAAGCCCATTCATCAATTAAGAACTGCAGTGGCTTGCTGGCTGAGTGCTGCATGAGCATGACGAGGGGTCCTCCTTCAACCGCTAATCTCCCTGTGGTCAGGTCAACTGTTGCCCAACGACGCGTCAAAGGTAGGTCGGAAACAGCTGCCAAGAAGCTTTGCAGGAATTCTGCCGAGTCTTGCTGCGTGCCATCAAATCTCCATCTTGGCAGCAGGCTCCGAAGCGGGAAGGAGTTGATGAGATTGAGGGGGGGGGGCAGCGCCAGACCGCGCTGTGTTAGAGAGGAGGCTCATTAGGGCGCGTAGTCTAAGATGGTAGTGGCCAGCAAAGCCTGCACGGCTGCATTGACATAGCAGTAGTTAGAGGTGTTTTTGAATGAAAGCCCTTCCAGGTAAGTGGAAGGGGAGAGGCTCAAAACATTGGAAGGATCGCTCTGAATCGCTTGCTGTGTGGCAGTTGAACCTCGAGTGCCGAGCTGAAGAGGAGAAGAGATAGGAGGAAAGAGAGAGGGAGCAGGGGGAGCAGGGTCATGGCTATTCTTGCTCTCTGCTGTCATGACTTTGGGAGAGGACTTTGTAGCGGCAGTGGGTAAAGACTCAGGCTTGGCCTCCGGCTCTAATTGAATACTGGATGCCTTGAAGAATGACTGCAGTGGTCCAGTGGTGGTCCTGGTGATCTGCAACACTGAGTCACCTAGCAGGATCTGAAACAAGACTCCGCACTGCGCTGGATGCTTACGCCGATCAGTGACTTTCTTGCTGCAGAAGGGACAAGGTCTTCCTTTGAGGATCTCTGTCCCGAGCTTTTGACATTGTGTCGTAGTGCTGTCTTGCAGGGCATCCCAAATTCTGCGATGCTCCTGATGCAAGTGCGACTTGACCTTGGTATGATCAGGCGTCCAGAATCCACAGAGCACGCAATGATCCACAAAATGCTTAGAGGCTGGCTGCCTGGCTAGTTGCGTGACAGTATGCGCCAGCTGTGCTGGTTAGATGTTCTCGTGACCATGGATGCACTGATTCAGTCTGGCCTGCTTCTTCACGAAGTTTATTGTGCTGGGCATCTATTCGTCTTAGGGCTTCCGGCTCTCTGCAGGCTCCGGGTGCGCATGTTGGTAAACCATCCTTCGGATGCTCCGGTAGAAAGTCAGGTGCCACCTTCTCCACGATCTATGACCTCACTGCCAAGAGTCAACGGCACCTCCAAGGTCTCTTACATGATCAAGCCAGGTTCGCCACCCGAAGCCCACATCCGGATCCAGCACCACGAATGGTATGTTACGAGGCCCCAAAACACCAAGTCCAGACTCGCGGTGTTCGTCGCGCACGTGAAGACACAGAAGAAGAAGGATGGGGACAAGGAGACAAGCGCTCCGGATGATCTTGGTCCTGGTATGACCAGCGCTGAGCCCAGGCAGAGTCTAGTGAATGCAAGAGTCCGAAGTTTGCACAGAAACCAGGGCGTGGGACACAGTCCCAAGCCACGGGCGCCTTTTGCCAGGGCAAATCTCTCAAGTTAATGTTGGGAAGCTGCTTGACTGACTCACTGCAACACCAAAGAGTTCGAAAAGACACGCACTGAAGGCGCAATAGACGGTGCGCCCCCCAAAGCCAAGCAGAGGAACTCCTGTTGAACAGTTTCGGCAATCAACTCCAAGCTGATCATCTCTGTTCCTTGCCTCAAAAGAAGCAGGAGGTTGAAGAACCCTCGCCAATCTTTCCCTCTCAGTGAATCCTGAGCAGCCGAGCTCTGAGCTCTGTGCGCCAGCTGATCTCTCATCAACTCACCAAGAGCCTGCTGGTTCTGCTGCAACACTTGCTGGTTCTGCTGCAGGAAAGACAAGATGGCCACCAATCTCTCTTCTGCAGCATGAGCAGAGCCTGCATCGGCGGACCATCTAAGTCAACCCAGCTGTGGCCCGCCAGCAGCTTCCATTTGAAAATTCGGCGAGAACTAAGGCTCTAGACTTCTAAAGTCAACCCCGACCTGTTTTCCTGGCGCCCTGAACTCAACCCAAAAGCTCTAGCCACTCCAAGTCCTAAAACTTCCAAGCCGTTGGAGTGGGCGCGGAACAACTGCGCTGTGAGAATCGCAGCACCTGCCACGCATTCCTTTGAAGAGCAATGGACGAACCTAAAGCTCCCAGACCCAGGCTGCGACCTCTGCACGTACGATGTCAAGAAAAGGAGACTTGCCGATGCCTCAAAAAAGAAAGATGAGGCCTGCTTCAGCTGGCTGTACAGGCTCGCAAATCAACTTCAAATGATTACTGGCAGCTGTGTTGCAAGTCCGTGCAACCTGATCGGACTTCTCATTCTTCACCAACGTTTGACGTTTAGAGAATGTGCTGAGCTCGCCATCCGTTTTTCCCCTCCAAAACAATAGATGATAAAGTCACTCTCCAGAAATAGATGATTAAGTCACCAAAGAGGGCACTTCTTTCCACCTTGCGGAGCAATGGAAACCCTACCGCTTGCCTCTGCAAACTCGTTATTGTCGGTGCGTAACCGGGGATGAGACCTGTTGCTGAGTGCGGCCTGGAGGTAGTTGACTTTCAAGCTGCTGTGAACCATGCAGAAGCGAGAGTGAGCTTCACGGAGAAGAATGCAGCTGTCCTGCGTGAATTCTTTCTTGGCCACTTTTCCAAGTGCTGTGGAGCTTTGTTACGCCATTGCAGTCGCGTATCTGCGATATCCGTCTGCACTCAGAAGAGCTAAGAGCGGGTGTAGCTTCCATTGGCTTCGAGAATGTAGAAGATGGCTTCAATTCGAAGTGTCAGATGGTGCATTCGAAGGTTTGACGCTGTTGGATGCCTGATGCTCAGCGTCGGTACCAGATGAACAGCATTGCAGTGCGCTGACTGAGAATACGGGCCTTGCTTGAGCCTTTTTGGATGCTGGCAGCTAGAGTCGTGGCTTTGTACTCTGGACACTGGATTCACAAAGACCTTTGAGTTGATCAAGGCGCAAGGACAGAACCCTACATCGATGAGTGCGTTGTCTGCTGAGCATCAAGATCCAAGCTTCTGTTTGGCATCTTGTCTGGGCTTCTCCACGAGCGTGGGAGAAGATCGTTGCGCGCGATTCCGGACAAGAATGGATGCGAAGCACTCAGAAGCTTGCAGGTGGATCTTATGCCTGGCAATCGATCTAGGTTGTTGGCGTTGCTGCAGACAATAAACCAATGGCCGAGTTTCAATCCTAAGGAGGGTTTCAGCCAGCAGATGCTCAAGCTTGAAGCGGCTTTTTCAGAGTATGATGATCATAGTCAGCAGGCGCTCAGCGAGGACACGAAGATTGCTTGTTTGCTTCGTTGCGTCACAGGCCAGTTGAAGCAGCATCTGAGTGTCGCAGTCACAGACAAGACTAAGTATGCAGATTTGCGTAGTTTGGTGTTGCGCTGGGATAATGCACAGACTCGTTGGGGCAATGCAGTTGCTGCTACGTCTTCCTTGGGTGATGGTCGTGGTGGTCAATCTCAGAGTCAGCCTATGGAGGTCGATTCCATCGGTCAGCTTGCTCAGGCTATCAATCAGATCGCTTGGAAAGGCAAGGGCAAGTCCAACAAAGGCAAGGACAAGTCCGGCAAAGGCAAGGGCAAGACCAACAAGGGTAAGGACAAGGGCAAAGGCAAAGGACATGGCAAAGATCATGGCCAGTCTGGCTGGTGGCAGCAGCCTCCCAAAGCTGGAAAAGGGAAAGGCAATGAGCAGTCCAAGGACCAGAACGATCGATGCTTGTGCTGCGGAAAGCCTGGACACTGGAAACGTGACTGCTTCAAGTTCAAGAGGGACAAAGGGCAGTCAGTGAACCAGGTGAGTTCTGCTGGTGAAGAGACGAGTGCCATCGATGCTACTTCGACTACTGCATCGACTGTCGCCCCTAGCCACAGCGCATCGAATGTTCCTGCAGTTCCTAAGCGGATTCAGATGCTTTCTCGAATCGATGACCAGGGAACGTTCGACTTGACAGCTTTCGATGATGATAATGTGATTGGCTTTGGTGGTTCGCTTCGTATGGTGCAATCAACGCGTGTAGAGCAGTTTGACATGTCTTGTGGCGACAGTATCGATGGATGTGTCATCGATGGAGGTCGTTGGAAGATCGATCTTGAGTATAGCATTTTCGATCTGGATGCTGCTCAGCTGTGTGCCCTTTGTGCGCACGCGAATGATGATTCCCAGGCGGGGATGTCAGTGCTTGAGAGTTCAGCTTCAGCTTCAGTGCTTGAGAGTTCAGCTTCAGCTTCAGTGCTTGAGAGTTCAGCTTCAACTTCAGTGCTTGAGAGTTTCGCTGACTACGGGGAGGTGAAAATATTTCACCACATCGATGCCTCCGCGGCAAAAGCGATGTTGGAGCGATCTGGAAGTGGCAAAGTCAGACATCTTTCATGCAGAGTGCTGTGGACTCAGCAGATGATCAAATCCAAGCAGGTCTCTTTGCTGAAAATCAGCACTACCTTTAACCCCTCGGACCTTGGAACGAAGGGTTTGTCAAGGTCTAGAACTAGAATGTTACAGTGCTTGATTCGTACATGGGACGAGCTGACCGAATCGTTTGTTGGCTTCGAGGAGTTGAGTGAGGAGAGAGAGAGAAGCAGAGTTTCAGAGCAAATTTGCGCATCCTGAGAGGCATCCGAGCGCCGATCAGAGTGTCTAAGAGTTCTTTGCGGGCACTTGTTGCGATGGCAATGGTCAGTGCCGCTAGCGCGTTGAGCCCCAGCAACGCGATGGGAATGTGGCATGCTGTGACTGAGAACCTCAGCGGGTTGCCTACCTTATATGCTGTGATTCTTCCAGTCATTCTCGGCGTCTTCGTTTGCGGGCTTGTTAGTACGTTGTTGATCATGAAGCCTCAGCCGATAATCATCACCGGAAGCTTTGACAAGCAGCTGAACAAGTTCGCAGATAGTGATGGCTACGGGGGACACATCGATCTGAGAAGCAGGTCATGCTCAACTGCGCTGAGTGATTCTTCGACGTCAACAGAGCACAAGGAGGTGACGGTTACACAGAAGCGTGTACACAGCAAAGATCCCGAGTTGAAAAATCCGGTGTGGGTTGCTAAGGGCTTCGGCAAGAAATATCACTTGTATGGATGTGGCAAGCTGAACCAGTCGTTTGAAGTCACCGAGCACAGCGAGGAGATTGTGATTCAGCAGGGTATGGAGCCGTGTAGCTTCCGCAATCCTCACCTCAAGTATCATCCCAAGAAGTTCGTGAAGAGCAAGTAGAATCGATGAGTGGATGGATTGAGCCCATTTGCATGCATCAGGCTTTACGATGCACAGGGCATGGATGTGAGCCCATTTGCGCATGCCAGGACTTACGGTGTGCAGGGCATGACCGGCATTTTGTCGTTAAAATTAGCAAAAGGCTTTTGTACTTAGCATGTGGAGCATGCGTTGCTTGAGTGCGTTTCTGATGCCATGTGTTTACATCCAGCAGAGTTGTGAGCACTTGTACAGTGGCAAAAGTTTGGTGCGAGAACTGCCAAAATTTGGCAATCTCGAGGCGGGGTGCAAAACTTTTGCATCATACAAACGTGAGGTAACATTTTGTACAGTTGCACATGAGCTGTTGACTTGAGTTCGTGCAGGCGCTTTTGTCCGAGCAAAATTTGTCACTTATTGCTTGTGTGTTGGTTGTTTTCGGTTTGGTCTTGTTTGGCTTGTTGGTCCTTGGCTAGGCGGGTCCAAAGGACGGAGCTGGCAACGGCACGTTTCAATGGGCTTTTAGCGAATGGTCAAGGCACGTCCGAAGGGCGGAGCTGGCCACGGCACGGCACGTCTCACGGGCGGGGCAAGCCAAGGGCATGGCGCCTCCCGAAGTTTCAGAATCGCCCGCTATGAGCAGAGCCCGCTCGCTCAGCGTTCAATAATAGTAGTAGTAGTAGTAGTAGTAGTAGTAGTAGTAGTAGTAGTAGTAGTAGTAGTAGTAGTAGTCGTCGTCGTCGTCGTCGTCGTCGTCGTCGTCGTCGTCGTCGTCGTCGTCGTCGTCGTCGTCGTCGTCGTAGTCGTAGTAGTAGTAGTGGTGTAGTAGTAGTCGTCGTAGTAGTCGTCGTAGTCGTCGTAGTAGTAGTAGTAGTAGTAGTAGTAGTAGTAGTAGTAGTAGTAGTAGTAGTAGTAGTAGTAGTAGTAGTAGTAGTAGTAGTAGTAGTAGTCGTAGTAGTAGTAGTCGTAGTAGTAGTAGTCGTAGTAGTCGTAGTAGTCGTAGTAGTAGAGAGGCGAAGAGAATAGTTCTAAATTCCACCCCACCTTGTTTCTCGTCCTGCGAACGTAGGAGAAGAGAGGCGAAGAGAATAGTTCTAAATTCCACCCCACCTTGTTTCTCGTCCTGCGAAGCCTGTAGAAGAAGAGAGGAGAAGAGAATTATTCTAAATCCCACCCCCCCTTGTTTCTTGTCGTCCTGCGAAGCCTGTAGAAGAAGAGAGGAGAAGAGAATTATTCAAAATGGGTGGAGCTTTTTTTTGTGTGCACGACTTAAATTAGCGGGGGGTTGGGGTAGAAGAACGAGAGAATAGTTCTAAATTCCACCCCACCTTGTTTCTCGTCCTGCGAAGCCTGTAGAAGAGGAGAAGAGTATTATTCTAAATTCCACCCCCCCTTGTCTCTTGTCGTCCTGCAAAGCCTGTAGAAGCAGAGAGGAGAAGAGAATTATTCTAGATGGGTGGAGTTTTTTTTGGGTCGCACAATTTTGAAGCAAGCTTGCGCAACTAAAATAGCGGGGGGGGTTGGGGGGGGCGCAGCCCCCCCCATTGCAAATACAATGCTCGCATCATTGGTTTTATGGACGCTGAAATTTTGATGCTTCTTATATCAGGGGGAGCCTAGGGGAGGGGTTAGGGTTGAGTTAACTCGAGCCCCAACCCCAGGTCCGGGGTTGGGGTCAGGGTTAGCTTGAACCTTACCCAGGGTTGGGGTTAACCCGAGCCCTAACCCTAACCCCGCATCCGGGTTGTGGTTCGGGTGAGCGAAAACCCTAATCGCAGGTCTGGGAAGGGGTTCAGGTTGGGGTTAACCCCAACCCTAACCCTGGCTCCGTATGAGGGAGCTTAGGCAAGGGGAGGGTTGGGGTTAACCGAACCCTAACCCGATCGGGGTCTGAGCCCTAACCTCAGGCGGGTATTGGGGTTAACCCGAACCCTAACCCCGCATCCAGGTTGGGGTCAGGGTTAGCTCGACCCTAACCCCAGGGGTTGACGTTAGGGTGAACTGGCTTCTTAACAAGTCCGGGTTGGGGTTAGGGTTCGCGCCAACCCTAAACCTGGAAGGGGGGGGGGGGGCTTGGGGGAGGGGCTAGGGTTGGGGTTGACCCGAATGGGTTCAGGTCAGGGTTAATCCGAACCCTAGCCGCAGAGAGGGGGGGGTTGAGGATAGGGTTAACCCCAACCCTAACACTGGTTGGGGTTCAGATTATCTTGACCTGATACCTGAGGTTCAAGCTCCAGAGGTGACAGGATGATAGAATCCCAGCGAAAGAATTGAAAACCACTGCTGTCAGGACCAGCAACTTCTTCCTGGCTGAGGATGCTTTTGCCGAGGCAACGGAGCTTTGCAAGAAGCTTTGGCTTCATCCGTCCTGCATTGTGCTCTTCTCGCTTTTTTGTCCTGCTCCAAACATTTTGCTACAATGGTTAGTTTTGGATGTCGAGCAACACATACGAGGTTCTGATCTTAAGTATCCTTGCGGAAGGGGCAATAGCGCTATCAGTGACGCTTAGCGGAGGTGCGCTGTTTGCTAGTTGAAAACTACTCCAATTCCCATCAAGTTTGATCGTCAAGGTCATTCTTGCAATTTTTAAGTGGGCTTCGGCCCAACAGAAAGTGCTCAATGTCAGTGTGTGACTGTGTGTCACAAAACCCACATCGGTCTTCGGCTATCTGTTATCCTGAACCCTAACTCAGATTAGGGTTTGGGTAGGGTTAGCCCCCCCCCCCCCCCCCGCCGCCGGGGTCGGACCCGGGTTCGAATTCTTGGAACCCTAGGTTCGAACATTGGAACCTAGGTTAACCCAGAGTTCGAACATGAAGTTTCCGAACCCAACATTCGAACATTGGAACCCTCGCTCGGTTAACCCAAGGTTCGAACACCTTCCCTGAGAACTAAATTACAAAGCCGAGCCTTTCTACAAGCTGCGCAGAAGACAAGAAACAAGGGAGTGCCTATCTCCTTACGCACGTTCCAAGCTGTTTTAAACAGCTGTCTCGCCTGCTATGCTTGATGAGCAGGCTGATACACAGATCACGATTGCAGACAAAAGAAACACGGGAAGAAGAGATTTTTGACAAGATGGCATGCGTGAATTTTAAAATTAGCAATTTTAAAACGAGTTTTGCAACAAAAAAACTTGTTTTTTCACGTTGGGCGTGGTGTTTTTTTATTTTTAAATGGTGTTTTTGGATATGTTGATTTTTTTTGATTTTTTGAGCAGATCAGTTTGGTTGATTTAGTTGCAAAAAGTTAGTAAGGCTCATCTTGTTTTCAGCTTCTTTTGTCGATCCATTTGAGAATTTTATGCGCGCAATTTTCTGTGTTAAAGTGTGCCTGGAAATGTAAATTCATCAATTTAATACGTTCTTGTTCCAGTATCTTTTTTCATTGATTTTGTCAAAAAAAAAGGAAAAATGCATTTCCATTTTGTCGTCAATGCCTCGAATTGACTGTCTTGATACAACCGTTGAAGTATTTCAAAGTTTAGCTGGGTTATAGTTGTTGTGGTTGTTTGTTGTGGGTGCTCTGGTGCGGTTTGTGGTTGTTGCGGCTTGTTGTGGTTGGTTGTGGTTGGGGTTGTTAGTGGTATGGCAGCAGTCGTGGTGTTGTAGCTGTCGTGTTGTCATCGTAGGAGTGGTCGTCCACCAAAGTTGGAGTGGTAGTGGTGTCGTACAGTAGTGGTCAGCAACCGTCGCAGAAGAAGAAGTCGTAGTAGTAGCAGTAGTAGTAGTAGTAGTAGTAGTAGTAGTAGTAGTAGTAGTAGTAGTAGTAGTAGTAGTAGTAGTAGTAGTAGTAGTGTAGGAGTAGTAGTAGTAGTAGTAGTAGTAGTAGTAGTAGTAGTAGTAGTAGTAGTAGTAGTAGTAGTAGTAGTAGTAGTAGTAGTAGTAGTGTAGTAGTGTAGTAGTAGTAGTAGTAGTAGTAGTAGTAGTAGTAGTAGTAGTAGTAGTAGTAGTAGTAGTAGTAGTGTAGTAGTAGTAGTAGTAGTAGTAGTAGTAGTAGTAGTAGTAGTAGTAGTAGTAGTAGTAGTAGTGGTAGTAGTAGTAGTAGTAGTAGTAGTAGTAGTAGTAGTAGTAGTAGTAGTAGAAGTAGTAGGAGTAGTAGTAGTCGTCGTCGTCGTCGTCGTCGTAGTAGTCGTAGTAGTAGTAGTGGTGTAGTAGTAGTCGTCGTAGTAGTCGTCGTAGTCGTCGTAGTAGTAGTAGTAGTAGTAGTAGTAGTAGTAGTAGTAGTAGTAGTAGTAGTAGTAGTAGTAGTAGTAGTAGTAGCAGTAGTAGCAGTAGGAGTAGTAGTAGTAGTAGTAGTAGTAGTAGTAGTAGTAGTAGTAGTAGTAGTAGTAGTAGTAGTAGTAGTAGTAGTAGTAGTAGTAGTCGTAGTAGTAGAAGTAGGTAGAAGTAGGTAGTAGTAGTCGTGGTGGTAGCAGTAGTAGTAGTGGTAGTGGTAGTGGTCGTGGTAGTAGTAGTAGGAGTAGTAGTAGTAGTAGTAGTAGTAGTAGTAGTAGTAGTAGTAGTAGTAGTAGTAGTAGTAGTAGTAGTAGTAGTAGTAGTAAGCACTCCGGCTCAGACAGGTCCCAGCAGAGGGACCCCAAATTTTTCTTTAGAAGTGATTGCATCCATGCCATGGAACTGTCAGCATGCGACACAAACCCTGCGTGCGAAGCCGTTTGCACCATTGTGGTACCTGAGGCTACAGATGTTGGTAACTGCATGGCTGATCCACCATCAGAGTTTGGCGATCTCGAACTATGCACAAATGCCGAGCCATTGGGTGCCGCACGGCCCCACACTAAGGTACATGGTCTCAACAAGTGCCCTGCGTGGATCGGAGTCGCAGCTGACCCATGCCCTGCACCTGCCACACAGTGCACCCAGCTGGAAGCCCGGCCCATATCGGTCGGAGAACGCAAGCGTAAGCCTAAACGCAATCGCATCTCAGCACTCTGCAGTGAGCTGGCGCGACTGTCCCTGCAAAGCGCTCAAGAGACACATGATCGACAGTGGGACACACAACACCCTTATGTTCCGAACTGCAGCAAGCTCCCAGTGGATTTGCATGCCATGGATTAAGAAGTGTGGTCTGGCCCCTAGTGCTGCAATGCGTTTTCGACCCATCATGCTTCCGCAAGTTTCGTCGTTTGCACCGTTGCCTGTGAACGGACAATGCCCCCAAAACCCTCAAAGCTACTCCATGCACCATAAGCCCTGCCTCATCAGCGTGCTCCCCAGGTGTGATCGGACACGAACCACTCTTTCATGCAGCTCGGACTCCACAGGACTGCCGTCATACTTTAGCGCCGCTTCTCCGTCCTATGGCCTGCTCTGCAAGTCTGCTGTGTGTACACAGGGTGAGAGTGTGCAACCGCAAGTGCTTTGGCCACAGGGTGACAGTGCTCTTACCTGTCCCCTTTCACTACACCTTGCACGCGCAGCTAGCACGATGCCCGAGACACCCCAGCAAGAAGGGGAGAAGCAGCCCCGATCTCGCTATCGCGCTGATGGCCGGCGTCGCGTGGGGAGCTGAGGACGCGGGCCCCCTATGTGCAATTCTGGAAAGATGTCCAGGCAAGACAGAGGCAACGAGATGCACATGCAGAAGATGAGGCCCCGAGGCGTCACCACGCTCAGCACTACCGCATACACACCGACGATGGCCAAGAGTCGCAGCATGATGAGATGAATGGGCAGCCCTCCTCAGGAGGCCCCAGTCGGGCAGGGAGAGCATCCAGAGGCTCAAGGGAGACCAGAGATGGCCCCTGGAGGGAATGGAGCCACAACGAGGAGGATTGGTGGTACTGGCCAGAAGAATGGGATGCTGATGTTGGGGGGGCAGGTGATCAAGGGAGCTGGCGCAACACACGACGCCGACCAGCCACGTCAGGCAGTGACACCCATGAGGACGCTCCCCTTGAGCCCTCTGCAGCACACCAGCAGGACAAGCCGCGAAAATCTCCGTCCCCCCAGGTCAGCAAGAGATCACGCAGCACACAGGTGAGCGATGAGTTTGTGAAGAGGCAGACCGAGGCAGCGCCGAGTCAAGCGGCCCCTCCAGAGGAGCCTTGTGCGGATCAAATGGCCAGGCTAAGCAAGGTCGTCGACTTGCTGGAGCAGCTCGCCCATGCTGGCCTTCCTACGCTCATCAACGCCTTTTACAGATCAGGTGACTTTACCAAGCACCACGACACCTTCCATGGTGATCCATCGACAGCCAGCTTTCCGCGAGTAGGGAACTGGAACTTAGCGCTGACGGGTTCCCTCCTGTGTCCACCACTACGCGCAATCTACAAGGACGTCTCCAACTTCGGCTCCTTTATGGAAGCGTTCACGGTGTGCAACGCAAAGAAGCAACCACGCCCACCGTGGTACCAACACTACCAGCTTCTCGTGACCCTGATCGCAGCGATGACTGACACATGCACCCCGGACACGTACGACGCGCTCAAGGTGAACTCCAACCCTGCGGAATTCATCCATGTCTTCCGGACCCATGAACGGACAACCCCGGCAAAAGGTGAAGCGGGTACCGGCTTGAGTCACCTCTTACACGCTGATCCTGCGGAAGACGCCCCACTATCAGTCCTACCGCTCCAGACTGTGGGCACACAAGAAGCCAGCACCATCGACCACGAGACGGAGAGCTCCTCTGATGATGTGCAGGTGGTCGCACTTTGGGAGCCTGCCCAGCGCACGGAGGCCCCTCGTCCCTCTCAGGCACCTACGGACCACAAACTCATCGGTGGTCATCAGGTGCGACAGCCGCCACAACCGCCATCAAAATCGACTACAGAGGAGACAGGGACCAAGCACTGGATGCGTGCAAACGGCACCCCAGTTCGTGTGCGCGGGGAACGAGCCAAGGAGATTTCCAAAGCCCTCACGCAGATCCTTCGACATGCGGCGCCCAGAATTGGACTGCATATCCAAGATGACGGCTACGTCGCTATGGGAGACCTATTGCAGGCCCCACGCATCTGGAACCAATGGATCACAGAGGCGGAGATCGTCGACGTAATCCACTACAACCAGAAGAATAGGTTCGAGATCTCCCACCGCGACGGCGCCTACCTAGTGCGTGCCCGACAAGGCCACTCCATCGACCACATCCAGAACGAGCTGATCCTCACTCGCCTCACAGTCGATGACACCCCTGAATTCGTTGCCCACGGGACATACTACGACTTCTACGAGAGCATTGTACGTTACGGACTGATGGCCGGAGGCAGGCAAGGACAATCCTTCCGCCGTCATGTACATCTGGTTGAGCAGCTCCCAGGATCGGATGTCGTGTCGGGCATGCGCAGCGACTGTGATTTGGTGCTCTGGATTAGCGCGCAAAGTGCTGCGGTCTCTGGCATCACCTTCTACAGGTCGGCGAATGATGTCATCCTCACGGAAGCCACCATCGACCCGGCTTTCTTCCACAGTGTTCAGATCATGCGGAGCCTAGAGGTGTTGACCGCCGATGGCGGTCCACCACACCCGCAACAGGTTGCACTGGCGATTTCACGCGCCTCCTCGCGCGACGCACAGCGCCACGGGCAATACATGAGGGTTGTGTGTGTGTGTGTGTGCTCATGCCACTGTGCCCCATCGCTTGAAATCCCTGCATGCCTCCAACACTCATGCACCTGTACCGCTGCCACGCAGGACAGGCGGCTTGCCGCTGGGAAGCCGAGACGCCCCTCTGTTCAGAATACTCTGGAGAGACTGCCGCCTGCCCAATAGACTACGCAAAATCCGGATTGGCTGCACAGTCAAAAAACGCAGGCGCAGACGCGCCAAAGGTCTCCGCCGCAGACCTAAGTGCACCACCTGCATCCTCCGCAGTATTGGCCGTGTGCTCGGGCAAGGTATCCACTGTCTTCACTGTCTGTATTCTGACTTTGAGGTGGTTTGGCGTAATACAGGGAATAAACCAGGGCTAAATGCCACTAATATGCTGTTCAGCCATGCGCAAAGGACCAGGGTGTGCAGGCGACTGCCCCCTCCTACTGGGAGCGGTGTATCACACCGCCCCAACGAGAACAATCACTTCACCCCAAGCAGCCGGCCCGGTCCCAAGTCCGGGGTGGGGAGCTGTTTCACTGCCCTGATTATGATGATTCAAGCACAGCTCACCCACAGTGTGAGGGTTCGAGCTCTCTCCGCTGGAGCTGGGGAAGGCAACCCGTATGCACATTTAAGCTCTCGCCATGTGCCGAAGCCAAGCGGGATACAGGTCGTATATGGGAAGCAGGATCCTACTCACGATTGGAATAGATATGTCAAGAGATCTTTTAAGAGAGCATGCCGTCAGGCCATTACACACGGACGCGCCACATACAAAGGCCGCGCACTCACTGTTCAAACCTCTCCCTCCGAGCAACCGCACACTGTTGTGCAAGCCAAGCAACACACTCCTGTCCCACCCCAGCGCCACCTGAAGGTATACTGTCACAACGTCGGGGGCCTAGGTTCGGGGATGTACGAGGATTTGATGGGGTTCCTGGATCAATCTCACTATGACATCGTGCTCGTGCAAGAGACCAAACTTAGAGAAGCTAGCGAGTACACCGCTGCTCGCTGGATATGCGTTGGCTCTGGCACCACTGCTCAGAAACATGCCGGAGTTATGATCCTTGTTCGGAAATCACTCACTAATGTGCAGGAGGTCAGGCATGATGCTGTGATCCCAGGACGACTACTTCGAGTGCGATTCCCCCTGGGAACCACTGGCCGCTTACTCAGTGTAGTATGCGCCTATCAGCATGCTTGGAACCCCAAAGACCCTGCAATCCTCGACAAGCGTAGTGATTTTTGGCATAAACTTAGCCATTGCATAGGAGGGATTCCCTACCGTGAAGCCCTGGTCGTTGGAGGCGATCTGAATGTCCAACTTACTCCCAAACGCCCTTGTGTTGGACATGGTACGGGTGCCCTCTCCCCTGAACGGGCCCCGGACGCTGATGCCTTGCACACGTTGCTCTCCGCACACACCCTCGTCGCGCTTAACACTTGGGGAAAGCCAGGCAAAGGAGCACACACGTTTACATTTGGGAAGCATCAAGCACAGTTAGATTACCTCCTCATGCGCGCCAGCCAAACAACGAGAACGGCAAGACAGGCACGCCCGCTGCATACGTGCCCTGTTGGTGGGTGGCGTCAAGGAGGGGGGATTCACACGCCCATTGTTGCTTCGCTCCCCTTCTTTTATCACGTGTACCATAAGCCAACTGAGCTTAAGCCGAAAGTCGACGCGACACAAATCGTGCAGCTCGCGCAAGCGAAAGACCCACACAGTGACCCCGCTGTTGCCCGATTCAGGTCCGAAGTTCAAGAGCAACTCGCTGCTGTGAATACTGTGTCCGATGCGGGTAATATATCCCAAATTGTGTGCCACGTTGCGGCAAAATACTTCCCTCAAGAAACGCCACATACTGACAAACTTGCCAGATGGCAAGAGCCGCATATCAAACAGGGAATTAAGGATATGTGGAAGGCCTGGAGGAAGTACCGTAGCTGTAACAAGGACACCACCCTGAAAGCGGCCATTGGACGCTGGAAGACATGGGCACAGTACAACAAGCTGTACAAAAAGCACAAAGAGCACTGCCGAGCTGCAAAAAAAGACTACCTGCTCCAACAGATGAACACTGCGGAACAGGCTGCGCAAAACCATAACCAGCGCCTCTTGTATCAGGTTGTACGCGCTCTCGCGCCTAACGGTTGCTGCATGAACGTCAGGGGGAGCCCTGTGAAGGCCCCACGCTGCAGCCGACGGTGCTCGCCAGGCACTTGCAACACGCTCCGCTCAGGAAAGCCGTCCCCCCAGGCCACCCACCCAGTGCCATCTGGCGCCTTTGCTCAGACATCATCGCGACAAGGGTCTGCCATGTGCTTAATACCAACTGGACCCCACAGCCTAACCGCGTGCCCCGGCCCTGGTCCGACGCACACCTGGTCCTTATCCGTAAGCCAGCCAAAACCGGTAAGGAAGAGGGACACTATCGTCCGATAGGCCTTCAAGACCAGCTAGGCAAACTCACCTTTAAAGCACTAGTCGAACCCTATCAGGCAGACATACACAGCATCGCCGCACAATTCCCCCAATACGGCTACATGCCGGGCAGGTCCCACCGCGATGCCTTGCGCAGGGTGTTCGACCACTGCGCGCACATAAGGGCCAAGTGCCGCGCCCACCACTGCACACTGCATGACCGATTTGAAGGCAAGGCAGCCACGGCCTTGATCGGCGGCCTGCAGGTCACACTCGACCTCGCGGGAGCATTTGATGCCATGCCCCGACATCGACTCCTGGAAGGAATGGAGCACATGAACTTGCCGCTCTCCTTCATACAGATCGTCATGTGTTGGCACCATCAAGCCCACTACCATATCAACCATGATGGCACGGATCGGGTTGTCCACGCTACACAGGGCGTGCGACAGGGTTGTGCGGTTGCACCCCTTCTCTGGCTCATTTTCTCACACCTTATCAGTGAAAAACTTGCGGCCAAGATCGGCTACCACGCCACAGTCAATCTCCTCAGCATCTTCGCTGACGACTACCATTGCTCGGGTGAGTTCAGCTCGACGCACGATCTGGAAGTCATTCTGTCGCACGTAGCCGTGCTCCTCCATACACTGGCGGATATGGGAATGACGGTTAGCCCCGCGAAAAGCAAGGCTATACTCAAATGCGCAGGTCCGGGGGCTGAACAGCTTAGGAGACGGTTCACACGCAAAACGGCCCAGGGGAAAGTCCATCGTATCTACAGTGCACAGGAATGTATCGACATCCCGCTTGTTGATTCATTCATGTACTTGGGAGCGATTGTCAGCTATGATCACTATGAGGATAGAACACTTGCGCACCGCTTAGAGGTTGGGTCTAACAACTTTGGCAGACTCACGCGTGTACTCCGAGGCAGACATGCCCTAACGCGACAACACAAACTCCGTATCTGGCAGGCGTGTGTCTATACCGCCACTGTCTACGGGCTTGATGCCTGTGGACTCACGCCCCTTGGCGCCAAGAAGCTCACAGCGCAGATCCTGAGACAAATTCGACTCATAGTCAGGGATCCCGTGTACATGACGGGTACATCACACCAGCAGGTTTTGACAAAATGGAACCTTCTTTCTCCGATTGAGGCGCTAAGGCACCAACTTCATAAGGAGACAGTTGATCCGGAGACTCAACCGGATATCTTTAAAAGGGGGCCAGATAGCGCGGCTTGGCAAAGAGTCATGGATACCCTACAAGACTTTTCATCCTCTCAGCTTGTCGAAATGCACAATCAGCGTGCCCATGGCCACCCGTGTCCAGAGTGTGGAATATATTTCGCCACCCGTGCCTCCATGCTAGGCCACATGACACGTAAACATAAAGACCACCCAGCACGCCCTGCCAATCAGCCTACGCGCACCTTTGACAAACATAGTGACGCGCTGGGAGGGCTACCTCAATGCAGCCACTGCAAGGTCAAACTCTGTGACTTCTCCAGTCTGCGCAAGCACATTAACGAACAGCGCTGTAAGGTGCTTTACCCCACGAGACGTCCACCCTGCTCGGATACACCCGAAGTGCCACCCGAAGTGATACCACCTAACACTATCGAAGCATCAGCTGTCAAGGTAATAAGCCCTAAGCTAGGCCCCACGCCTGAAGCCACTCACGTCGAGCCCGACCCCTCCCATCCAGCACGCTGCTCAGGTGCCGGACCAACGGACGACTCAGAAACACAGATGCCCTACTTTCAGAGGACCAGCGTACGAGCCATGCTCACAAAGTATTCTGAAAATGCAGCTTTTCACCTGCAGGATAGACAGTGGCTCCGACACTCCTGTGCCCTGTGCTCCCAGTGGATTGTGTGCTCAAGTAAGGTGAAGCAGCACTATAGGCTCTCACACCCCACTGACCATGCACAGTACCTGCAATCAGCGAGCCGTCTGTGCTCCAAGTTCAATACCCCGGGCTCACCGTGTGAGCACTGCAGTGCGGTCACCAAGGCCCCCAGACAGCACCCTGCCAAATGTACTGTCTTGTGGCAAGTCTGCCTTATGCATCTTAAACTGCGTAGCACAGGACTGGCGATGGAGGAGCTTCAGCAAGTCTTCGGCCCGCTGATGAAGGACCAGCTGGATCTCATGGAGTGGGCACCGACGATGAAGAGGGAAGCCGAACCGGAATCGGCCCCTGCAGAGCGAGGCAAGGTCCCCAAGACAGAGCAGGGCAAAGGGCGCCCGCGTCAGCCGGCCCCTCCAAGCAAACAACACTGGCGCAAAGGTGGGGGCAAGGGACGTGGTCACGAAACCCCCAACCTGACCTACTTGATCAAAGCACTGGCCAGACTAGCGCTGCAACAGGAGACGGCGCTCAAGATCCTACGTCAGGACTACAGCTGGGTGCTCTTCATTCAACCGGGCAGTCAGGGGCCGCTCCCCCTCCTCTTTGCAGCGGCACAAAAATGGAAGAAGTCTCAGGAGGAGGGAACAACGACCAGTACACTACGCACCACTCTGTTCGGTTGTCTGATCACGATGCTGCACGCAAGCCTGAAAGACATCGGAGGAGTGACGCAGACACCCTTCCAGAAGAAGGCGGAGGACAACAAATGGCTACAGGAAGGCCACTGGTGCTACCAGAAGTGGTCGCCGGCGTTGGGGAGCCTGGTGGTCGACGAGGGGAGGCCCCCGCTTCCACACGCGAAGCTAGTGGAAGCACTCCAACTCCTTCTACCCATCATCATGCAGCCCTACATGATACACAGATTCCACGCCACACGTCCCCTAGCAGACACCATGACAGGGGTCACGGCTTTTCAGCTGGACATCTCCAATCGCACGAAGGGCCACCCAACAGTATGGGAGACACTGGAGGCATTGACCGGCCTGTCGGCCATGCAGGTCATCGGCCTCCAACTAAGGAGGGACACGCTCAAGCAATCACCGGCTGCCGCGCTTGTCCAACAGGCGCTGGCCGAATACTACTAATACGGCTCCTTAACAGCAGCAATACATGCTATCTTAATGCAAGCGTGCGTGCCTGGCTGTTTGCGGTTAGCCACCTCCAGGTTGCGGACATCCTCAAGTATGGTGCCCAGGAACAGGCGTGGAGGGATGTGTATCATGCGCGTAGGCCCATTCACGTTCATGCACTGAGCTCCTGGCGGCCCTTGCTGTGCAATTGGGCTAACCTCCACCAGCAACATGACACTTGTGAATTCCTAGAACACCTCCTAGGAGCTGGACGACCCCAAGTTCTCCAAGGCAAGTGGGAATCGCGCATTGTTAGTGAGGTTGAGGGCACCGAGACCAGAGGACAGCACAACACACAGCGGTCCATTACCCTTGACCTGGCGGACCCTTATGCCACCACTAACCTCCAAGCACTAGTTGACCATTGGCACACCGGCGGCACGTACGTACAGGCTTGCACGCATCCTCCACGCATCCTGCTTCTGCGCATCTCGCGCTTCTTAGACACAGACGCTGGCGAGACGGTCAAATTGCACACCAGGGTCACCATTCCCACTGCAGTCCAGATCCCATGCTACTGTGACCCACATCAGGGGGCTGCTTGTACGTATGTCACATACTTAATCACGGCGTGTGTGCTGCATCGAGGGTCTACTGTACACGGGGGACATTACACTACCCGCTTTCTCAATCATCTCCCCCAAAGGGTCGCACCTCAAGCACCCCCGCAATGGCATGCAGATGACAGCAAACCCATTGAGCATGTTAATATAGCTGTCACGCATGACTCAGTACTCAGCCAACAGTGCTACCTGGTCCTGCTCTGCAGGACTACGCTTTGATGACTTGAGCGCAGTGGGGTAGCCGCCTGTGGGGGACACATAGGCAGCCTGTGCTTACAAAAAACCCAAAACAATCAGAAAAAAAGGATTGCACTGCTGCCACGTGCCTGCGGCTACCTGACAAACACCCACGCTCACGTGTGCGTGCACCCTGTTGCAGGTACCTGAGCAACACGCTGTGCAGTGAGCCTGTTGGGCCACTATACTGAACATGCGTTAATTCATTGCCAATTCACGAGGAGATGAGCCGTCGCCCTGAGACACAAAAGCGACAGAGACTGTTAATGAATGCCAGATCACACCTTCCCCACCTAAGTGCCCCATAAATCTCCACATTCCCAGCGCGTACTCTACCTGTGCAATAGGGCTCGAGCTAGGCACCATATCCAGCAAATGTTGCCTGCACACACCTCGGGCTATGCAATGGGTGAGGCCAGCGGCTTCACACCAACACAACATGAACACGAGGTAAGGATCCCGTATTCGCTGGAGATTGATGAAAAAATCCCAGATGACATGCCATATCCAAGGCACATAGCTGAGCAAATTGCGGCCGATATGATTGCCTGTGGGCAGGTGCGCATGAGTGCATGGAAGCTACTCTGTGACAGTCTGCCTAGGGGCGACCTGCGCAGTGAGGCGAATGCCGACCTACCTGGCAGTATGTGCTTTATGAGTGGAGCCTACTCACAGGGCCCGCTACATGGGCTTCGGCGCAACACCTCGAAGTTCCCATGGGTTACCCTAATGGTGTGTAGGTACATCCGCTCCTGCACCCGGGTGCCCTTCACTAGCTTTGTGCTTCAGCGAAATACGTTCATGCATGCACATAGGGATATGAACAACGCCGCACAAAGTGTCAATGCAGTGCTACCCTGCTCGGCCTTCACAGGAGGAGGGGTATGGGTGTACGATCCGGAAGGCAGCCATGACTGTATGGACGGTACCATGCAGGGCACCGTGCTGAATCTCACACTGCCAGGAGTCACCTTTGACCCTCAACAATGGCACGAGACTCGCCCCTGGACAGGAGATCGCATCACGATTGCAATCTTCACGGTCAGGGCAGTGGATGAGCTGAACCCTGCACACGTCGATACGCTTCGGAGACTGGAGTTTGCATTACCCACTCCACCTGCATCACCTGCACCACCTACACCACCTACAACAGACCCTGACCTTGACAGTGAGTGAGAGGCTAGTGAGCCATAGTTGGCCACTCTGGACCGACAGTGTGCCCGGCTGGGCCACTTGTACATAAACCACATACCGTCCTGTGTAACGCACTTCCATGTATTGTACATACCAAGTGAAGAGGATCACACTACTGGCCGCGACACTGTGCCGATATTGTTTGTTCACTGCCGCCGGCATTACATGCTGAAGCAGTTTTTGTTTGTGCCACTGTGCACTCTGTGCCACTGTGCACCCTTCTCTTGACAGGTTGAGTAGGACGCAAGTTTGCAGCCATTCGTAGCGGGACTTGCCCATTATGGTTCTAGTGCTCAAGAAGCACCGGTGCAATGCACTGCCATGTACCTGACGCCAAGCTGAGTGACCGGCTGCGATTGGAATGGAAAAAATAGTAGTAGTAGTAGTAGTAGTAGTAGTAGTAGTAGTAGTAGTAGTAGTAGTAGTAGTAGTAGTAGTAGTAGTAGTAGTAGTAGTAGTAGTAGTAGTAGTAGTAGTAGTAGTAGTAGTAGTAGTAGTAGTTGTGGTAGTAGTAGTAGTAGTAGTAGTAGTAGTAGTAGTAGTAGTAGTAGTAGTAGTAGTAGTAGTAGTAGTAGTAGTAGTAGTAGTAGTAGTAGTAGTAGTAGTAGTAGTAGTAGTAGTAGTAGTAGTAGTAGTAGTAGTAGTAGTAGTAGTAGTAGTAGTAGTAGTAGTAGTAGTAGTAGTAGTAGTAGTAGAAGTAGTAGCAGGAGCTACTGTAGCAGTAGAGTAGCAGAAGCAGTAGTAGTTGCTTATATTGTTGAAATATTTTTTGATGGCAAAACTGTTTTTGATTTTGTTTGCGTTGTTTTTGTGTTTTTTTCCTGACCTCTTTTCTGGCTCTTTGTTTGTCTTTGATTTTGCTTTTTTATGTTTTCTGAATATTTGTTGTTCTATAGTGTTGTGAATCGTTTGACCCTTGCGAGTTTCATGGATTTTGCAACTGATGGATTCTGCAACTGTAAGGTCTCTGTTCTGCTTCTTGCGCAATTTTTTCTCGGAGGCTACAGACATAGCGGGAGAGTGCTTCGCACCCCCATTTTGCCGTTAGGCAAAAATCCAAGTTGAGCTCAGATTCAAGCCTGGGTTCGAACCCAGGTTGGAACCTGTGTTCGAACCTTGGTTGAACCCAGAGTTCAACCCAGGTTCGAACCCAGGTTTCGCACATTTGGCGGGGTGTGCACAAGCAGCCGCGTTGCCTCGCAAGCTTTGATGTTCGGAGAATGCTCGCACTCTGGAGGTGTGGTCCTGACGGGGGGGCTTTGAACCCAGGTTGAACCTGGGTTTCCGAACTAAAAAGACACAAGCTCCGGAACGCCTTGGCTGAGCAGTGTGGTAGACAGAAAATGGGCAACCTAGAGGTGGCGCTATCCTCTGTAAGTGACAGGTACCAGGATCCGGGTCGCACGCTGATGGTCCAGCAGGTTGAAGCCTGGTTCCAGCTCAAGAAAAGGTGGACCGGAAAGGAAGACCTGCTGGAAAGAACCTGGGGCCTTACAGTCCAAAAATTAGAGGAAGCCAGCAGCAGGTGGCAAATGGTCAAAGGCCCTCTTGCGGCTACCGTTGCATACCTGCTCGACCTCGGCTGGCAGCCTAGGGACAGTGATGAGTGGCTGGACACCCGGGGCGCCAGGCACACCATGCACACCCCACAGCAGGAGTGTCGTGTCCTTGACCTCCTCCAGCAAACTTATCAGGAAGAAGTGGACCGCCGTATCGCCACCGGCATCGCTGCTCCTGAGCTAAAAGGGGGCGTAGATTGGACAGTTGGAAGGAAACTGTTGGGGGGTTTTAAGAAAGCAGGGCGAACCACGAAAGCCTCAGCCCTGAGGTGTGTTTGGCAAGGAGCCCTGGTGTGTAGCCAAAACTCTGCCGTCAAGATGTGCCCCCGGTGCCACCAGGAAGCAGACTGGGAGCATGTGCTCTTGGATTGTGCCTGGTGGGAAGCCCAGAACTGGGAGCTGCCAGCATGGTTCCAAGAAGGCAGGGCCCAAGGCCCGCGATCACTGTGGACCAGGGGACTCCCGCCCAAACCTGACTGGCAGGTACCACCTCCACAGGAAGATAAGCCCACCTTCCTGGGCATATGGGCAAACAAAGAGCCCCTCAGTGACCCGGAGCTTGTCTACGGCACAGATGCTAGCGGGGGCCCTTTCACGGCGGACCCGAGACTCAGGCAGGTAGCCTACGCCGTGGTGGCCTGTAAAAGGCAGGGCCAAGAGTATGTCCAGGTCGGGGCAATCGTCGGTCAAGTCCCAGGACCTCAGACGGTTTTTCGGGGTGAGATGTATGCAGTTTTGCAGCTAGCCCGATACACCAAAGGCCCAGTTGACACGACACTCGATTGCCTTGGTGTCCCGAAACGTGTCCGCAGCCCCAAACCGGGGAAAACACACGGTGACATCTGGTGGGAGCTACAAGCTACGGAGGTCGACCGCCTCAAAATGAAATGGGTCCCGTCCCATGTCTCAGAGGAGGATTTCCTCCGGAAGGTTGGTGCGGAGCATGCGTGGAGACAACAGGTCAATGACCTGGCGGACAAGCTGTGTGGGGAAAAAGCGGCCGAGCTGGCCCGCCCCGAGGCCCGAGCAGCCAGTCAGTATCAGGACCGTTGCAGCAAGAAAGCCCAAGAGTTCTTGGCGGGCAGGGCTGAAAAGATCCTCACCGCTGTAGGCGAGAACCAGCACCCAGTCTACAAGGTCTTCCTGCAGGACAAGCAGGCCCGCAAAAACCCCGAGGCCAATGCAAGGCCCTGTAAAAAGCGGGTCGGATCCAACATAGGCCGTGGCCACACCACCACCCAGCAGGAATGGTTCCAGGAATTGGTCCGGACCAAACCCATACATGCCTGGGAGTGGGAAGGTCTCAACCTCCGGTGTGCCCAGTGCCAGCTAAAACTTTTGCACACAAACCGCAAGACCTTAGAGGCGCTGGCAGCACACCAATGTGTGCATCAAGGGAGGGTTGCGATTGAGGGGGTTCATGTTACGCATGTTTTGAAACTTTTAGGCTCTAGGCAGCTTTGGGTGTGCGAGGGTTGTGGTGGTCAGCTGTCCCTAAAAACCCGAACGGTTTCGCAAAAACTTGCCGCTGCTTGTTGTTTTAAAAAGGACTCCCGGTGTAAGTCGCTTTTCAAGCCAGAAACAGCAAATCCCATCCGCAGCCTTTTTCAGCCAGCACAGGCAGTCAGGCCAGTAGAGGGCCCAACCCCTCCGTGCGCAATGGCGGAAATGAAGCAGGAGGACCTGCCCTCCCAGGGCCAGGAGGCCCAGGAAGCCCCAATAATGAAGAGTGAAGAGGAGAAGCCGGAGGGTGGGGCCTCCCCGGAGCCGAAGGCTCTACACCACCCCGCTGGCGACGACACTCAGGAGGGGCTACCCTCCCAGCCAATGCCTCCTCCAACACAGCCCCTGCCCGGGACCAGGGAGGAAGACAACCAGGAACTGCCACCCGCACCACCGGCAGGGGAGGGGCAGCCTCCGGAGGCAGAGGTTTGGGAGAATAGAAAGAGGGAGGTTCCTCCTCCGAGCAGGCAGCCCGGCAAAGCCCAAGGCAAGGAAGGCAAGGGAGAGTACCTGCTCGAGCGCAGGACCCCGGCACAGAGGTTTGTAGACGACTACACCCTGAAGAGGCAAAGAAACAGGCCGGGTAAGAAAGCCAGGGCCCAGAGACAGCAGGCTGTCTCCGAAGCAGCCCAAAGGTCCCGCCCATGCCACCGCCAGCCAAACGTGCTGCCCACCCTGGATGGGGGCACGAAGAGTGGGAAGGATGGCAGCAATGGGGGGACGAGCACTGGTCC